GACTAAGAAGCATGGATTTGCAATTATATGAATGTTTTAGCTTTTCTTTTGTAAAGTCCAACACTTTTCTTGAATGCCCTATATTTTGCAATGCCTTGCACTTTGCGGTTAGAACATCTGGTCACCCTGTATTTGGGAGATCCAGGTTCAAGTGCTCACTCATGAAATGCATGAAATGCAGTGACTTCCTCTTAGTCTGACCTACCTCACAGGGTTGCTGTGTAGATCAATAAGGAAGAGAGCCATGTACATAGCACTGGGACCACTGAAGGACAAAATTGTTGTTGTTGTGGGCCTTCAAGCTGTTTCTGACTTATGGCGACGTGACACTGCTTAAACTCTCATGGCTCCATCCTATGGAATCCTGGGAGCTGTAGTTTGTTTTGGCAGACAGAGAAGGCCAAATAGCTCACAAAACTACAGATCCTAACATTCCATAATCTTGAGCCATGGCAGTTAAAGCAGTGTAAAACTGCATTAATTCTGTAGTGTAGATGCAACCCTACTCTCTTTTCAGCAGGATCCAGAAGGACCCTTAACTCTTTTTCTAGGGCTCCTATCTAGATGTTTCTGCTTGCTCACAAGTTTGAAGGAGAATGCCATCTCCTTTGGATATCCAAAAGGTATAGTACTCTTGGACATGGAGGTTTCTTTGAAATGCTATCTTATATCATAGCCATTGAGAGCATTATTGTTGTTGTTTTGTTGTTGATGTTGGTATTATTATTATTATTATTATTATTATTATTATTATTATTATTATTATTATTATTTAATTTCTGTGCTTCCTTTCTCCCAGAAATGGCTTCATGGTGGTTCACAGATAAAATCATTAAATAATAATAATAATAATAATAATAATAATAATAATAATAATTCAAAACAATTAAAATCATCTAACTAAATACAGTATAAATTGACATAAAACATACAAAGTTAAAATAATAATTATAATAATTATTACTACATTTATTTATATCCCACCTTTCTCCCAAAACTGGGACTCAAGGCAGCTTCCAGTTTATAACAGGATGATGAAAAACATACAGAAAGTGAACATTAAAATGAAATGAAACTACTCACACTATTCAAGTGATTGAAAAAGATGAAATGCAATTGAAAAGATAAAAAGCAATTAAAACCATTCAGTTTGAAACAGTAAGCGTTCCCTGTGGTTTTCCCTAATCCTTTTTAAACCTTAGGAACCCTTCAGATATCTCATGGCAATGCCTTCCATGTGTTTATACTGTGCAAAAGAATGCTCTCTTCATGTTAATCCTGGATGTACTGTACCTGTGTATACTCTGAATTGGCCTGGATATTTGGCAGATAGCTGTTGAAGGAGTCTGGGAATGACATTCCTGGAAGTATAGCTTTTCTGTCTCTCTGTTTTAAATCTGCTTGGAAGTCCATTTCTTGCCATGTAATCATAATATCTGAAGATATATCACAAAGACGGAGTGAGCGTATTTTCTTCTGCTCCACAGACTAGAATGCAACTGAAAGGATTTAAGTAACATGTAAAGAGATTCCTTGTGAATATTAGGGAAAAATTACTGTAATCACTGTTTGGTACTGGAATAGACTGCCTTGAAGGGTGATGGTCTCTCCTTCTTCGAAGATCTTTAAACAGAGGTTGTATGAGCATCTTTCAAGAATGTTTTAGTTATGTATTCCTGCATGGCAGGAGGTTGGACTATATGGCCTTTGTGGCCCCTTCCAACTCCAAGATTCTATTATTCTTAAGACACAAAAAATGTACAATCAAATGCACAATCACATGTGTGTGACCATTTGAGTACAATACACAATGTACATCCATGCACAGCCATGTACTGTGTGCCTCTGTGGATTTGGCTTGGAGGAGACAGGATTTGACCTGGGGTAGGAAGAGGAGGTCCTCAGAAAGGGCATTATGTTTGTTCCACAGAAAAAGGTAGCTTTAACATCGGACACCAGCCTCTGTGGCAGAGGGGCCCATTGCTGAGACTGTTATGCACAGGGCCAGTGGTCAGTATTGGAGAGAGTGCAGTATGTCCATCTGTTGGAAATGAAAGCTATAAAGTTGCCATTGCTGCATTTCTCAGACCTTTTGGGAAAGCACAATATATGACTGAAAAGGCTTATCTGTGCAACCAGGGAGGTTCACGTTCACAGAAACTGGTAAAAGAATCAACAAAAAAATTGAAGTGGGCACACAGAAAAAAAAAAGCTCAGATTAAAGATCTGGCAACAAATGGGCTTCCCCAACTCTGAACTGAAAGCAGAAGTCCACCTGTTTCCATAGAGGGACTAAAACATGCATCAACAGGTTTATTTTGACAGAGGAAGGAAGCCTTTTCCATCTTTCCCTCCAGACTTTTGCAACTGATTAATCTTTGCTCACACTGAGAATGAGAGTCTGCATAGTATAATGGTTTTGGAGTTAGGACTCTGGGAGACCATGGCCCTAAGACTGCAGGACCTGAGCAGAGCAGTTGAGGACAGGGGGTCTTAGAGGTGTCTCATCCATGGGGCCACCATAAGTCAAATTCAACTCAAAGGAAGTTCATAACAACAACTCTGGGAGACCAGGATTCATATCCTTGCTCAGCCATGGAAGCCCAGAGTGACCTTGGGCAGGTGACACTCTCTCAGCCTCAGAGGACAGCAAAGGCAACTCCCGTCTGAACAAATCCTGCTAAGAAAACCTCAGAATAGGTTCACCTTTGGGTTGATATGAAATGACTTGAAGGCACACAACAACATGGGGTGGAGTGGATGGGGGGCGGGGGGCGGGAGAAGTCTGTGCTATTTTACTTCTTTCTTGTTTTATTTAATATTCTGCCTTTCTTCCAATATGGGACCCAAGGTGCCTTCCAGTACAGTCAGCCCTCCATGTCCATGGCTTTTTTATCCATGGAATGAAGCATCCACGGCTTGGCAATATTTTAGAAATGTATGAATTCCAAAAAGCAAACCCTGATTTTGCCATTCTGTACCAGGGACACCATTTTACTATGCCATGTATTTAATGGGACCCGAGCACCCACGGATTTGATATCCACGGGGGGTCCTGGAACCAAATCCCAGTGGATACCAAGGGCCCCCAGTATAAGATGAAAATAAAAAGCAGTTAAATCATGACATAAGCAGCTCAGATAAAAACTTGTTTGGGTCCATATTGAGTGATACTTCTCCATCAGCTCCGCTTTGCTGAGACAGGCCCACTTCTTGGTGATGGAGAAACCACAGAGGGTTCAGTGGATCTTTTCTCCTTCTTGTTTGGAAAAGTTCCACCTGCCCATAATCACATGCAAAAGGCCATAATGAGCGGTTTAGTAATATCCAGCTGGTGCCCCAGGGACTGTTGGCACCAGTTGTGGGACAGGAAAGAGGTGCATACTTCACATGCTTTTAAAAACCAGCCTAACCAGTCTTTCTGAAAGCAGGGTGAGGAATTTTTATTATAATTATTTGGCGTACAAGTACAGGGCAACCCTTCAGGCGACTGTACAGCCTGGATTTGGAAACCGAGTGAATGACACAACTTCACACACAACTGGTTTCCTTGAGCAACATCCACCCTTTCTGGAAACAGTAAGTGAGATTATAAAGAACATCTAAGAAAAAGGAAACACAGAATAGAGCATGAAGGAGCGAGTTATACAGCATTTTCTAAAATCTTGCCTGGGGTCAGTTGGAGGAAGAGGAAAAGAGAGAGATTGAACCAAAAGTAGCATACTTAAAAAAACAAATCTCGTCATCTCGGTGTACAGTATCTGCCACATGGCATGTTATTTGTGAATGTATTTTTCCAACATGGGTCCAGATGTCCCCCCAAACATCACTGCTCACATCCAAGAAGGAGGTAGCAGTAGGTCTGAGGGAACCCTAAGGTTTGCAAACTTGCTTTTGTTGTGTGCCTTTGAGTCATTTCCGATTTATGGCGACCCTATTGCGGACCTATCATGGGGTTTTCTTGGCAAATTTCTTCAGAGAAGGTTTGCCATTGCCATTGCCATCCTCTGAGGCTGAGAGAGTGTGGCTTGCTCAAGGTCATTCAGTGGGTTTCCATGGCCGAGCCAGGATTCAAACCCTGGTCTACAGAGTCATAGTCCAGCGCTCAAACCACATCACACTGGCTCTCTTTTTGCAAAAGTCCATTGCTGTATCTACTCATGTACGAGTCTAGAAATTTTAGTCAAAAAATTTGCCCCAAAAACCATGGGTCAATGTAAGTACTGGACTTGAACTCTTTTTTTAAAAAACAAGGAGCCATCCTCTGGTGAAAGGCAAAAATGTAATCTGCCCTGGAAGCACTGACCCCTCTCTATTCTCTCATCCATCCAGCCTTTTGTATGAGCACACAGAGTTATGCCTGATGGAATTTTGTATGTTCTATGGCATTGTTTTCCTTTGCTTCACCCTTTAGATCCTTTGTTACAAGCCTCTAAGTTCTACCCTTGACTTATCCACAATCCATATCAAAAATCCATAATTTTGGCCCCAAAGCTGCCCTTGATTTATACACGGGGTCGACTTACATTGTTGTTGTTGTGTGCCTTGAAGTTGTTTCCGACCTATGGCGACCCTAAGGCAGACCTATCATGGGGTTTTCTTGGCAAGATTTGGTCAGAGGAGGTTTGCCATTACCATCCTCTGAGGCTGAGAAAGTGTGGCTTGCCCAGGGTTACCCAGTGAGTTTCATGGCTGAGCAGGGATTTGAAGCCTGGTCTCCAGAGTCCAACACTCAAACCACTACACCACACTGTCTCTCAGTTGACTTATAGGAGCTTATCCCATGAGCTTTTAAATCAGCAGCCAAGTATATTTAGTCGAGTATATTTAAAAAACAACAACCAGCAACCAAATCCCAAAACAGGCCAAGGAGAACTGATGCCCAGTGGCCACAAAAAAACTGTCTTTCAGTTGACATGGAGGAAAAAATAAATAAAGGGGCAGGTGGGATGGAATGGAGTGTTCTGGAAAAGAACATGGGTGCATAGCTATAGGCATGAGGCAGTGTGGCATAGTGGTTTGAGTGTTGGACTACGACTCTGGAGACCACAGTTCGATTCCCAACTCGGCTATGTAATCCACTGGGTGACCTGGGGCAAGTCACACTCTCTCAGCCTCAGGGGGAAGTAATAGCAAACCTCCTCTGAACAAGATTTCCCAAGAAAACTTCTTAACAGGGTCACCTTAGGGTCCCCAGAAATGACTTGAAGGCATACAACAACAACAGCTTAGCTGTAGGCTCCCATGCCAGTGGGGCAGTGAATCCATTCCAAGCTTTTGGTATGTAACTTCAATGGAGCTATCCATGCTTCTGAAGTTATCTGAGGAAAGAATTTGGCACCTTGGCATGCTCTTTTAGAGTTCACACTGAAACCCCCAGGTGCATTGACTCCAACAATTGGATGAAAGCAACCTGCCACTGCTGCTAGTCTGAATTTCCAACAAGAATGCTTCACATTGTAATGCTTTTTTGCACATCCCACATATGAGATGCAAGTCCTATTCAGTTATTGGTTCATTGGTAAGCAGGGCTACATCTGGCTCTTCTAACTTTTGTGCATTCAGTAGAATATTCTGGGGGACATTTGATGTATCTGTGTGCCTGCTTGCACGAAGCACCCACTGCCAACAGGGATAGACTTGCATTTATTTTAACCAAACAAATGACCTAAGAGGACTAGTGTCCTGTGAAATTAAGGATTTCATTCATTCCAAGTGAATGAATGACTGAAATGGGTGACTGAGCATGCATAATGTGTAGCGATTGTCCCTAAACTTTCAGTCAAGATTCAAAGAGCTACTTTAGGCTACACCCAGTAGGTTTGGCTTTTATTCAAGGCAGCTGGCAAACCATGTCAAAACTGGGGTTGGCCATATAGCAAAGGACAATAACATCCCAAATCCACAAAACAGTGGTATCTTTATCCAGACAACCAAAATGAACAAAATACATGTCACAAGCTTGCAAAGCTCCACTTCTTCATCTGGCAAAGGTGTTAAAAAAATATAGGGGGGGGGAGAGAATAAACTGATGATGTTAGTCAATTGTTTTTCTCCTGTGTGATTTTTTAACACTTTTGTCTGATGAAGAAGACAGTGGAGTTCTGAAAGCTTGCATCATGCATTTTGGATGACTGAATAAAAGTATCACTGCTTTGAGGATTTTAGATGTTCAGCCTATGTTGACTCCATAGGTCATTCATAACTACATAAACTATGCATCGGAGGAAGCAGGCTCAAGTCTACGAAAGCTTGTGCTACCAACTTCTTTCTTTCATTTAATCTCAAAAGTGCTACAAGATCCCTTTGCATACGGATTTTCCAGATTAATACAGCTATGTGTTTGAATTCTACATAAACTATGGTTATTTTGATACCACTTTAAATATTAATAGAGACTTTGGATCTACAGTCTGGTAAATTCTCTGACAGGGAGGACTAGTGTTTCACAAAACTACATAACCTAGGATCCCACAGGTTGCATCCATGGCATTTAAAGTGGTATTGAAGTGCTGTAAGGGTGTAGTGCAAAAGAAACAGATATCTTGTAACTTCAGTACCTTCTTTTTTAAAAAAACATATCATTTTACCAGTACATGCCATCCTCAAGTGTTGCTGCTGGGGTGGATTTTTGGCCTTTTAAAGAACAAATCAAAAATTAAATAATCTATTTAAAAGCACCTGGAAATAAATAATGTTAACATAATTTTAGAACACTCTTAGGAATGTATTACAAACGTGTCACTTGTCAAAGAATGGCCCATGGCTTACATGAATGAGTGACTTCTTTAAAATTATCAAGTAAGAAACTACTTTTTAATAATAATATTCCAAATTCTGTATGAAACCAATATTCAGGATTATGACATAGCATGGAGCAGATGAAATGCTGAACTACATTTTGTTCCAAATCAAAGAGGAGGTGAGAACTGAGTTAATGGAATGGTCTCTTAAAGGTGGGAGAGATAATCCTATACAGTTGCCCCTCTGTTTTTGTGGACTTCACGTCTGCGTCCTTCCCCACTTCGCGGATGGCAAATGGAGGGGACAAAATGGGGCATGTGCCCGTAGGTGCATGGCCCCATTCAAGCCTATGGGGCTTGAATATTTGCGGTTTTCCATTTTCACCGGGGAGGGCTCCAGAACAGATCCCTGTGAAAACAGAGGGGCAACTGTATGTAGAAAATTGGCAAACTTAAGAGTATAGAGAAGGCGTGGGCAAATTGCTGCACTGGGAACCATTTGTGGGCCTCTGGAGACCCCAAAATTCCTGCCATCATATTAATTTTCTCCTCTTTTGGGGCTAGAAAAGACCAAAAAATAGCTCAAAACCACTGTCTGATGTACCAGTTTTACCTTCATATTTCCCCATGCGTCCACCGTCTTTAACCTCACAGATACCCCATGACCAAATATTGGCTGAAAATGAAAACAGAAGTGACATGATATCACTTCTGATCACATCCAAATTATCAATATGGAGTGAAAAGTGGTCCAGTCCCATCTGCAGTTGTTCACCCCTGTTTTAGGCCTAGGAAGAGGGGCTCAAACAAAGCCATCCAATGCTCCCACTTGCACATTCCTGTGAGACATCATTGTCCTGGGTTCACAACGATATAGATCTGTGGGCCAAGGCTTATATAATGTCAGTCCAGGCAATCTCCAAGTTGAATCATAGAGTGCTTCATATCTAAAAATGGTCTCTGTCACATGGCTGCTGCTTGGACCAAAGCTTGGCCAAGACTAGACCAAAGCTAGGCCAAGGCTAGATTTAAGTCGTTCTCATTTTCTGTCGCCATTTGTATTAAGCAGGAGGGGATCAAAAGCTGAATGCTTAAATGTTTAAGCCACAGACCTCCAACTCCTCAATGGTAGGATGATGCTCTGGTACTGAGAGCATTGTCCTACTACTGACCAGTTGCAGGTAGCTTCAGCTTCTTAATCTACTCATTTGTTTTTCATAAAAATGACTTTCAAAGTTGTAGTTTAAAAAGTCCTTGCCCATTCCCAGTGGTTCCTGTGTCAATGGGATAGTGGATCTACTCTGGGTTTTACTCTACTCTGGGATCTACTCTGGGTTTTTGTCCAAATTTTAAAGGAGTTATTATCTAAGGATTGAACCTATTTCAAGGATATGGTTCAGCACCCTGGATAACTCTCATAAAGTTTAGATTAAAACCCAAGTGGAGTCATCCATCACTCCACTGACATGATCATCACCATTTTTTATGGTAGGGGGAAAAGCTGATGTTTGCTAGCTGTTTTCAAGGTTATCCCTGTATTATTATTTTTTTAAATGCTGAATGTATTTATGTTTCCTTTTCCTTTTTTTCTTCCAGGGAAAGAGGAAATGGCAACATGATGAAATTTCTAGCTTTGCTTCCATTTCTGAGCCTCTCTTCCCGGAATGATAGGATCCATCCGGAGCTGCATCTAAATATAGATTCCATGCATAGAGTTCCATGAAGAACCAAATGGCATGATAATTGGATTTGGCACCTTTATTAATTGATGTCAGCTTTTTCATCAAAGTGGCATTTGTGAGAGCGGCTTAGCCAGTGGAGGAATGTGGAGGAATTCATACATTCTTCCATTATCTTAAAGCAGGGGTAGGCAACCTTTCCCCTTTAAGGGCCGAGGGACTTCAGCTCCCAGAAGCCTCAGCCATGTTGGCCAATAGTCCCATATTGGCCAATAGCTCCTGGGATTCTGGGAGCTGAAGTCCCTCGGCCCTTAAAGGGGAAAGGTTGCTTACCCCTGTCTTAAAGTAATAAACCACTGTTTTCAACGGGAGCTAAGATCTCTGATATTCTTCCCAGCCCTATACACACACACACACACACACATATCCTGAAGATCCTTCCTTGGAGGCTAGTGTGGCTCCTATGAGAATGTAGTGCCAATCTGCTCTGGGTTTTAGTCCAAACTTTAAAGTAGGTGTGCTGAAATGTACTCCATTAGTGAGTCAAGCACCTTAGATAGTTGCTCAAGAATATGTACTAAAGCTAGTTTAGCACCCAGCTTGGTTGAAGATAAATAGATTTAAAATCAAACATTTGAGAACTCAGAACTCAAAGTCCTGAGCCCCGATGGATGAATTTGTCAGATTTAGTATGTTTTTTCCCCCCCTCTCTCTCAATCATATTAAAATTTGAACTCTGAAATGCTTTCTGTCCCAAATATGAAGAATTTTTCAAATTAGGGTGAAATCTCATCAAAACCAATCCAAAACATACAAACAAAATGTATCCCTACTTTCTGGACTACAGAAACTTCCATTCAAGCCATCTTGGATTGGGGATTTTTGGAGCTGTTGCTTTCCCTAGCTTGAGTATAATGCAGTTCTTTATCACTGTTAGTCACATTATTTCACTCTCATTACCTCTAGGCCAGAAACTAACAAACTACCGTATGTTATTCTGCCTGTCGGTTAAAAGACACAGCACAATGAGATGGTTACAGTCTGGGATCCAGGAGATCCAGATTTATGTTCAAACTCATTGGGTGACCTGGAGCCAGTCACTTTCTTCAGCCTCACCTACCTATCTACTTCCATCTACCCTATTGTGAAGATAATGTGAAGAAAAGAAGAAGCATGTATGCTGGCTTCAGGGCTATGGAAGGAGGAAAGGAAAGCAGGTAGATAGATTTGTTTAGGATTCTGATAGGTAAATTTGTGGCCTGACATCTATTTATTTTATTTTAAACCTGCCTTTCTCACATCATGGGATTGAAGGCAGCATCATGTAGTAATCTGAGTGTTGGACTAGGACTCTGGGAGACCAGGGTTCGAATCCCTGCTCAGCCATGGAAATGCACTGCGTGTCCTTTCAGCTTCAGAAGAAGGCAATGACAAACCTCCTCTGAATACATCTTGCCAAGAAAAGCCTAGGATAGGATGGCCCAAAGTCAGAGCTGACTGGAAAGCACAACAGCAACAATGAGAAGAGAAACCGTATTCTGTTGCCAGTTGCAGAGAATTTCAACTTTCCTGGACCTACAATACAGGATTTACAGGTCACAGTCCTCAAACAAGGAAACTACAAAGAAAGACTAGAAAAAGAAACACTTG